TGAGACATACTCAGTTAATGGCCCAACCTCTTTCCTAAACCACATCCCCTAGAGTTGAATATCTACTGTTGCAATATCCAGTGGTCAGCACCTGATGTGATAGTTAAGGTTGTGTGTCAACTTGGCTGGGCTATGATTCTTAGTGGTTTAGCAGTTATGGTGTAGTCATCCCCCATGATGAGATCTCATATCATTACTTCCATGATGAGATTTGCGATGAGCAGTCAATCAGTTGAAAGGGAATTTCCTCAGGGGGATGGGCTGCTTCCGGTACATATAAGGATGATTTGGCAAAGATCTCTGATTTTCTGCTGGATCCAGATCCTGCATCTGGTTCATCATCATCTCCGTTTCCTGGAGTTGAACCAGTGGCCTGCCACGTTGCCTGCAATCTTGAGACTGTTGTCTCTGAAGCCTGTGAGTCAACAATCTGCCATTTTACCTGCCAATCTTGAATTCAGCCTCCAAAGCCAGCAGCCTGCTGTTTTGCCTGCTGATCTTGGGTTTATCTGGCCCTGCAGCTGTGTGAGGCAGAAGATGCCTCCAGCTTGACATCTGACCCAGAGACCTGGGACTTGCCACACTCTACAAATGCATGAGCCATTTCCCGGAGATAAATTTCCATCTGTATGTATAAGCTTCACCAGTTTTGCTTCTCTAGAGAACCCAGCCTAAGACACCGACTTAAGCTCCTCGTCAATGGGGAATGAATGCTTGCTCAGTGCTTTGTGGCACTTCTCTTGTGGTTCCAACACCCTTCATTTGTACATCAAGCCCCTCCTCTTGAGTAGTGCTTTGGTTCTCTAGTGCTATGATAACAGACATACCACAAGGGGATGGCTTTAACAAACAGGTTTATTCTGTATTTTGAGTTTAACAAATAGGGATTTATTCTCTTGCAGTTTAGGAGGCTAGCAGTCCAAGTTCAAAGGGCCAGCTCTAAGTGTTGGGTGAAGTCACCTCGATCTTGGGCTTCAGCTCTACCTCCTGTTCCAGGCCCACTAGAAATGGAGGCTTTTTCTGACTCATGCAGCTGCTGGCTGCTGAGGTTTATGAACCCAAGATTGACAGGTAAAATGGCACAAGATCAGCTGGTAATATGGCAGACCACTGGTTCAAGTCCAAGAGCAATACCAAGATCAGTAGGCAACATGGCAGGACATTGGCCAAACACAGGATCCAGGTGTGCCAGAAGCTCTAGACTTTTCTCAAAGCTTCTCCTTGTATACTGGAAGCAGGCCACATACCAAAGGCAGCTATTTAGCTGGTCACAGTGAATTCCATCATGGAGTTGATTACCAATCCCATCATGGGGAATAATTATATCCAGTGGTCCAGCTACTCAAATCCATGGCCCAGCCAAGTTGACACACAACTTTAACTACTACAGTAAGAAGTAACTGGAAGAAATCGATGTTTGTTGCATCACCAAAGAAAGGTGATGCAACAGAATGTAGAAATTACAAAGCAATATCATTTATATCACATGTAAGTAAAATGTTGCTGAAGATAATTCAAACATGGTTGTAGCAGTCCATTGCCAGGGAACTGCTAGAAATTCAGGCTGGATTCAGAAGAGGATGTAGAATGAGGAATATCATTGCTGATGTCAGGTGGATCTTGGCTGAAAGCAGAGAATACCAGAAAGATGTTTACCTGTGTTTTATTGACTATGCAAAGGCATTCGACTGTGTAGATCATAACAAATTATGGATAATATTGAGAAGAATGGGAATTCCAGAACACTTAATTATGTTCATGAGGAACCTGTACATAGACCAAGAGGCAGTTGTTTGAACAGAACAAGGGGATAGTGCATGGTTTAAAATCAGGAAGTGTGTGCATCAGGGTTGCAGCCTTTCCCCATCTGTATTCAATCTGTATGGCGAGAAAATAATCTGAAAAGCTGGACTGGATGAAGAGGAACTTGGCATCAGGATTGGAGGAAGACTCATCAACAACCTGTGATATGCAAAAGACATAACCTTGCTGGCTTGAAAGTGAGGATGACTTGAAGCCCTTACTGATGAAGATCAAAGAATATAGCCTTTATGAATTACATCTCAGCATAAAGAAAACAAAACTCATAAGTGGACCAATAAGCAACATCATGATTAATGGGGAAAAGATGGAAGTTGTCAAGGATCTCATTTTACTTGGACCCACAATCAACACCCGTGGAAGCAGCAGTCAAGAACTCAAACGACAAAAAATGAACTCAAGTTGGATCAAAGACCTAAACCCAAAACCTAAAAGTATTAAGACCATCAAAGAAAACACAGGTGCAAACTTAGGGGCCGTAATACATAGGGGCCATAATACATGGCATAAATACACTATTGAACATAAATAAAAACACACAAACACCAGAAGACAAAATTGATGACTCGCACCTCCTAAAAATTTCAAAACCTTGATAACAAAAGACAAATAATCCAATTACAAATTGGGCAGAGGACATGAACGGACACTTCACCAAAGATGTTGAGGCAGTCAGTTAACAAACACAAGAAGAAATGCTCCCAATCATCATCCATTAGAGGGATAGAAATCAAAACAACAATGAGATAGCACTAACAGCAAAATTTAAAAAAAAAACCAAAAAACAGAAAACAAATGCTGACAAGGGTGTGGAGAGACTAGAACCCTTATTCCCTGTTGTTGGGATTGTGAAATGGTACAAACACTGTGGAAAACAGTATGGTCCTTCCTTAAAAAGCTGGAAATAGAAATACCCTATGCTCCAGCTCTGGTAGCATAGTGCCTGAGGCACTTGACTGCTAACCAGAAGGCTGGCGGTTCAAATCCACCAGCCACTCCTCGGAAGGAAGATGGGGCAATCTACTTCCGTAGTGATACTGCCTCGGAAACCCAAGGAGGGGTCTCTATGAGTCGGGTCGACTCAACGGCACAACAACAACAACAACAACAACATGCTCCAGCAATCCTACTAAACAAACATACCCACAGCTATGGACTTGATGCCACTCATAGCGACCCTACAGCAATCCCACTACTAAGTATATATCCTAGAGAAATAAGAGCCCTGAAACAGATACATGCACACCTATATTTGTTGCAGCACTATTCACAGTAACAAAAAGATAGAAACAACCTACATGCCCATAATGGATGAGATGTTAAACTATGGTATCTACACACAATGGAATACTATGCAACATTTTAAAAAATATATTGTGATTTGGGTGAAAGTTTACAGAGCAAATTCATTTTCCATACAGCAATTCACATACACTTTGTCTCATGACATTGACTACAATTTCCCAGAATGCAACAGCTCTCCTCCCACTTCTTCCCCATAGTTACCTCTTCCCTCTCTCCCACAACACGGATGACCCAAGAAGACATTATTCTAAGTGAAGTTAGTCAATCATGAAAGGACAAATATTGTATGAGACCACAACAAACAACGCAACACACTGCCATCAAGTCGGATCCAACTCATAGCGATCTCTCCTTGGGTTTCTGAGGTGGTATCTCTACGGAAGTAGATTGCCCAACCTTCCTTGCAAGGAGTGGCTGGTGGGTTTGAACCTCTAGCCTTCTGGTTAGCAGTCAAATAGCCTTAGGTATGAGACCAGTATTGTTAAAAAAAAATAAGGGGGGGGGGGTTCATACAAAAAGAAATACTCTTTGATGATTACCAGGTGTGGGAGGCAAAAGGAGGGTAAATTACTAAGTAGACAATAGACACATACTAACTTAGATGAAGAGGAAACCAATAAAAAAAAAATCAAATGACATATCGCAATGGGACAATCTTTTGCAAAAGACCTCGTTAAAGTATTCAAAAAGCAAAGACGTCACTTTGTCCACTAAGGGCACCTGCCCCAAGCCATGGTCTTCTTCAATCGCCTCGTATGCTTGTGAAAGCTGGACAATGAATAAGGAGGAAGAAAGAGTTTGAATTATGGTGTTAGTGAAGAATATTGAATAGGCCACGGAGTGCCATAAGAACAAACAGATCTGTCTCAGAATAAGTACAGCCAGAAAACTCCTTAGAAGCAAGGATGTCCAGACTTCTCACATACTTTGGTCATGTTATCAGAAGGAATCTGTCCCTGGAGAAGGACATTATGCTTGGTACCAAAAAATCAAAACCAAACTCACTGCCTTCGAGTGGTTTCCGACTCGTAGCGACCCCTCCTTGGGTTTCCGAGGTGGTATCTCTACGGAAGTAGATTGCCCAACCTTCCTTCGGAGGAGTGGCTGGTGGCTTTGAACCACCAGCCTTCTGGTTAGCAGTCAAATGCCTTAGGCACTACACCACCAGCGCTTCCATGCTTGGTACAGGGTCAGCGAAAAAGAGAAAGACATTCCACGAGATGGAGTGACACAGTGGCTGCAACAACGGGCTCAAACATAGCAAAGATTATGAAGATTGTGCCATGATCAGGTACTGTTTTCGCTGAGGCGGAGCCCAGTGAACAGCACCAAACAACAACTTCAGCGGGAATCTCTCAATCACCCATTCGCTACGTTGATTCGCTACTTCTCTGCTGTGGTATCCAATAGTCTGTCCCTTTCTTAGAGCTCCTCCTCCTGTTGCGTTCTATGGCCCGCCCTATCGCCAAGACCCGACCCCTAAAGAGCCTGGCTCCTCCGTTTCCCTCCTCCCACCTTCCCCTTTCACCTCCCATAACCTCCGCCCTCCTCCCATTAGGCCGCTGGGTCACGCCCCTTGGCTCTTCCCGTTATCCAATCCCGTTAACTTTCTCTGCTCCAACCCCTGTTTTTATTGGTCCCTGTGCTCCTCCATCCCCGCACGTGGCCCTGAGCGACGGCGTCGCCTGCCTGTGACGGTTAGAAGGCGGGACTTCCGGCGGCGTTAAGCCCAATAAGCACGGGCCGGCCTCCTGCCCCAGCGGCCGCCCCCGCCCCTTCAGAGTCCCGCTCCCGCCCCCGGCTTCGCCTCCTGCTGCCGCCGCCGCCGCCGCTGCTGCCGCCGCCTCCCGCGGCCTGGGCCTCCAGCCGCCAGCATGCCGCACGCCTTCAAGCCTGGGGACTTGGTGTTCGCCAAGATGAAGGGCTACCCGCACTGGCCGGCCCGGGTGAGGCCGCGCGGGAGATGGGTCCAGGCGAGGTGGGGGTGGGGTAGGAGGGGCTTGGGGTCCGGAGACCCGCGCGCTGGAGGTCCGAGAGGCCCGAAGGTCCCGCTTGCTGGAGTCCTGGTGGCGCCCAGGGGACCCTCACGCCGGAAGTCTGGGAGCCCGAGGGTCCCGCGCGCTGGAGTCCGGGGGTGTTCCGGGGTCTCGAGGGTCCCGCGCGCCGGAGTCCAGAGCACTCGAGGCTCCCGCGCGCTGGAGTTGGGGGGCCGGGCTTGAGAGGCTCCCCTGCTGGTGGCCTCGGGGGCTTGGAGTCAAGGGGCATGCTGTTCAAGGAACCTGGGGCCTGAGGGGGCAAAGAGTAAAGGCTGAGTGTCTGTGGGTGCAGAGTTCAAGTGTGAGCACGTTCTGAGGGTCTGAGCTTTGAAGAGGGGGTAGTATATGCGGGGAGGGGGTGCCCCAGGCTGCAGGATTTCAGGAGCTATAGGGGTTCGGGGACTGAGGGCTAAGATTGGGTCAGGGTTGGTCGGGTGGAGGGTTGGAGATGGGGATGTGTGTGTGTGGTCTGAGAGGAGCGAGGAATAAAAATGGGGCTGGGGGCTGTGTTCACAAGATAATTGGGGCTGAGGGGACTGCACTGAAATTTGAGGGCCCTGAGGGACTAGAGGGTTGACTGAAGCTTATTAGACAAATCCTGGGGATCAGCAGCCTGAGAGCCGCCCCCCCCCCCTAATTCTGGTAGAAGAGGCTAAATGAGCTGGTCAGTTACCTGAGTGGGCAACCTAGGACTGCTGGGAAATTTGGGTGTGGGGTAGTCCTTACTGAAGCTTGGAATGGAGAACAGTCCCAGGCTAAGGGAGCCCAAGCCCCAAAAGGAGCATGTCTGGGGGAAAGGGCCTGAGGCAGGGAGACTTTGGGGTGCCCCTTCTGAGGAAGCTGCAGTCTGAGGTCTAGCTGGATGGTCTGAGGGGTCCCAGTCTGAGGGGGTTGAGAGTCTGCAGATGAGAAGACAGAGGAGGGACTTGGAGATTCATGTCATTTTCTGGTCTCAGGCTTGATGTTGCCTCAAGGCCAAGGTTGGTGGTATATATGCACGGCAAAACTGGAGGGATTTAGGGTTTCGGGGCTCTTAACAGGAGAAGGGTGGAAGAGTGAGATAGAGGGTTCAGGAAACAAAACCAGAAGGGAACTCCGCCTGAGTGGTCCTGTGGGATTCCAGGACATTGCCGCGTTGTTCACTGCCCTCTGGGTGGAAGTAAGCTGGGGTTGAGGTGTGGAAAAGCCGCCACAGGGTGCCAGGAGGTGGTGCAGGGCACAACTGCCTGGGAGCTTTGAGAGCATCAGGGGCGTGTCCTGGGTGGGGCGGAGCAGCCGCAGGGCGGGGCAGGCATGCTGGGGTGGTGCTGGGGTGACTGAATTTGGGGATACCACTGTGGGAGAGTGGGGTGTTTGGGGATGTATGTGTGGCCAAGGACTTGGAAAAAGTATCTCCCCTGAGCGCCAGAAGAGAAGGCAGCTGGGTGCCTGGGGCAGGGAAGATTCAAGCAGTCACCTCAGAGGTGGATAAGAGGATGCTAAAGGAAGTTTTTGGGACCAGAGGACCCATCCTAACCTGATTTGCTTGCCCTGGTTTTCATGAGGGAAACCAGAAGGATGAAACTTTGCAGACACTTCCCTCCTCTCCCCTTTCCCTTCTTTGCTTAGCGCCAGCTTCTTTACACCGCCCCCCCCCCTTCCCCAGCCGGCTCACTAAGCCTCGAACATTTCCAAGCACCTGATTGGAAGTGAAGGGGCTGCTAGCCTCCTGTGGGGAGGTGACTGACAGCTGCCGGAGCCCGTGGGCCTGGAGGGACAGGGCGGGACTTCCTGGATGCTGAGGGCCTGTCTCCTGCAGCCCACCCCCCCACCCTCTGCCTCCTTGGAGCTGCCAGCTGCAGCCTGAGCCCCAGCAGCCCCTGGGGGACCACCCATGGATCGCCTGTTTGTAGAGGGGGTCCAGTGGGAGGGTTCTAGGAGTTCTAGGATCTGAGCCTGGCTCCACCCCCTGGTCGCATCAAAGGACCATATTTGGGCTTGCTCAGGTGAAGCACCTGCCAGGGGGCCGCTTTCTTACTGGGGGAGAGAGACCTACCTGGGGGGTCAGGAGGTGTACAATGGGGCGGAGAAAGGCAGAGGCTTTTATGGAAGGTGACGCACCCTCCTGTCTTGATGGATCCCTTCCTCCCAGCATGCTTTTCCCCAAGTCACTTGGTGGTTTTCTGGGTGATTTCCTGGCTTAATGGATGAACCTGCCCCCCACGTCAGCCCCTGACCATCCCGATTGTCCCCTTGCTGCAGATCGATGACATTGCCGACGGTGCCGTGAAGCCTCCACCCAACAAATACCCCATCTTCTTCTTCGGTACACACGAGACGTAAGTGTTCCTGCCTGAGGGCTTGATCTTCCCACCTGGTGTCTCCCACGGTGGCCTAACTCACCTGGGGCTGGCCCCATGGTTCCTCTCTCCAGAGCCTTCCTGGGACCCAAGGACCTGTTCCCCTACGACAAGTGTAAAGACAAGTACGGGAAACCCAACAAGAGGAAAGGCTTCAATGAGGGGCTGTGGGAGATCCAGAACAACCCGCACGCCAGCTATAGTGCGCCTCCGGTGAGTACTTTGGTAAGAGAGAGACTGGCGGGGTCAGCTTAGCCCGAGGCAGGCAGAGCAGGGCTTGCATAGGGCTTGAGGTGGCCTTCATCTTGTGTGGAAGGAGCGGCCTTGTGGCTGGGCTGCCTCCCCGCGGCACTGCTGACACGGGTGGATTCTCCTCTGGGGGGGCTGCGGCCTGTGTGCTGCAGGGTGTTGAGCAACATCCCTAGTTCCCACCCACTGGATGCCAGGAGCACCCCTTGCGAAGTAGTGACACCCACAGATGTCTGGTGGCCCCTGCTGTCAGATGAGCCTGAACTTAGAGAGTTATGATAGTTTAGATAACACCTTTTATTTTCTAAGAAGGAAAGCTGGCTTTTTCTCTCGTGAAAGCCCTTCCTCTCCCCGATGACTGCCTGAGCTGGACTCTGAAGAAGCCTGTGGCTTTTAGGTGGGAGGATTCTGGGTCAGGTGGGGAAGGATACCAGGATCACAGGAGTGACAGCCGGGCAGCCACAGGCCCGAGGACCTTCAGGGGAGGCAGGGAGCTGGGAAAGGGGGAGTCCAACTGATAGAGAGCCAAGGAAGGCCATGGGAGGATGGGGGAGGGTGGCTTGTCAGGTGTTCTGGATGAGGGGAGGAGCCCTGGTGGTACAGCTGGTTATGTGCTCGGCAGCGAATACGAAGGGTGGGTGGTTTAAACCCACCAGCCGCTCTGTGGGAGAAAGACGAGGCGGTCTGCCTCCGTGAAGACAACAGCCTTAGAAGCCCTGAGGGGTAGATCTGTTCTGTCCTGTGGGGTCACTGTGAGTTAAAATCCACCCGACAGCAGTGGGCTGGGAGGAAGCCGAGCAGGAGTTGTTCACTCTGCCTTTTCAACCACTGCTTTTGAGGTTTATGTGGGAGGTGTGGGGAGGAGGGAGAACCTGGGCTTAGGAGACGGGGGTGGGAAGTTGGCCAGGAGGCGAAGGGAGCTGACCGCAGGTGGGGAGAGCTGTGGCCGTCTGAGGCTGTTAGGGGAGCATGCGACGCCTGGCATGGCTGCAGGTGCCCTGGCTCAGCCTTCCGTGCTGGCGAGCAGGCACAGAGAGGTTCCGTGTTGCCTGGTCTGGCCTCAGGATGCCGGCTCTTCTTCACCTGTGCTTTGGAGCAGTTCCTCATTTATCTGGCGAACGCGTCTATATTGACACCTGTCACCAGGTGCGGTGCTAGGGACCAGGAAGACAGGTGAATCAGACACAACCCTCGTGGTCCGGGGACTCGGTCACCAGATGGCTCTCAGGTGCTGAGGGCTGAGGCCCCATTTCTCGTCTGTCCTGGGGCTACGTCACTATTCTTGCCTGTGCTGTGTGTACAGGAGGCAGAGTTTCTCTCTGGTCTGATGCTGTTAATTGTTAATGTGCCACCGAGCTATAGGACTGCCCCATAGAGTTCTATTTTTATTTTTTTGAATTTTGAATTTCATTTATTTTGTTGTTGTTGAGAACATGCATGGCAAAACATAGCCCAGTTCCACAGTTACTATGCGTATAGTTCAGGGACACCGTTTCCACTCTTCGAGGTGTGTGTTCTCCTACATGGGAGCAGATTGCCACGCCTTCCTCCCGCAGTGCCACGGGGTGCGTGTGAACCACCGGCCTCTCGGCAGCCGGGTGCTTCACCATTGCACCCCCAGAGCCCCTTTCTGATTCCACACGTACTGCTGGCCCCTCGTTCCCCCAGGCTCTGCAGGTTCTCACCTCGGAGAAATAGGTGGGAAGGCCTACGGGCAGTGCACTTGCTTGAGATTCTCTTCTGGCCCCAGCTCAAGTTCTCCACGGTCATGTCCTCAGCTTCTTACCTCCTGGTGAATCATCGCACCATTTAATATTTATTGGACTCCCACAGCTTGCTAAGTACTGCATAGATGCCTGCCCTCGAGGAAATGACACTCAAACGTAGTGCAGCCTTGCCATGAAATGAAGCTCATGGGAATTCCGCAGGCCAACCTGAGCTCATTGCTACTCTGGTTTGATTACATTTCCAACAGCACATTTGCAGAAAATACAGGTTCCTGGGCCACACCTTGGAGACTCTGTGTTAGCAGCTTAGGGCCTGGGAACCTTGCTGTGTTTTTTTTTTCCCCTAAGCATCATTCTAGATGCTTCCGCTGCAGCCAGTCTGTGGACAGGCATTTAAGAAGCTCTGCTTTCTGGGTAACCGAGCAGTCTCTCTCTCTTTTTTTTTTTTTTTAGCCTTAACGTTTTTATTTTTACGTTTTGAGTAGGAATACGGGATTACTGTGCAAAAATCAAAAAGTGCAAAAAGAGTCTGTTTTCCTTTCAGGATAGCCACAGCTACCAGTTTCTCCTGGATCCTTCCACAATGTTCTATTCATATGCGTGTCTTAAACTCCTTTTTGTTTTATCGTGGTAAAGTATATATAACAAACCGTTTTCTGATTTAGCATTTGTTACGTGTACAGTTAGTGACGTTGATGACACAGCCATCACCACTCCGTTTCCAGAATCTTCCGTCACCCTTCACAAGTCCCAGTGCCCCTTAAGCTGCCCCTTCTCCCCCTCGCTCTCTCCCTTGGTAACCACTAATCAACTTTGGTCTCTAAACATTTGCCTCTTCTAGACATTTCATATCGGTGGGATCACACAGTATTTGTCCTTTTGTGACTGACTTATTTCACATAGTTGAACGTGTCAGGACTTCATTTCTCCCTGTGGTTGGATGGTATCCATTGTGTGGAAGCAGCACATTTTGTTTGTCCAGCATCCGCTGGTGGACATTTAGACTCTTGGCCATTTGGCTACTGTGCGCTGTGGCGGACATTGGTGTCCAGGTTTCTGTTTGCATTCCTGCCTTCATTTCTTTTGGGTGTATGTATATATATGTGTATGCATATGTATATGTATGTTATTGGGATTACTGGGTCATGTGGTGGTGGTATGTGCCATCACTTGGCTCCGACTCACAGTGACTCTGTGGACAACAGAACAAAACACTGCCCAGTCCTGTGCCATCCTCACAGTCCTTGCAATGCTTGAATCCACCGTTGCAGCCACTATGTCAATCTATCTGTTGAGGGTTTCTCTTTTTTTTCGCTGACCCTCTGTTTTGCCAAGCTTGATGCCCCTCTCTAGGGAATGGTCCCTTCTGACAGCATGACCAAAGTAAGTGAGACAAAGTCTGGCCGTTCTGGCTTCCAAGGAGCATTCTGGCAGCACAATTTCCAAGATAGATTTGTTCATTCCACCCAGCCCCCCCAGCAAAAAAAAAAAACAACCCAAACTCACTGCCGTGGAGTTGATTCAACTCACAGTGACCCCTCCTTGGGTTTCTGAGGCGCCCTGCCCGGCTTTCTGGTTAGCAGTCAAGTGCCTCAGGCACTACACCCAACACCACAGTTCAAAGGCATCACCTTTTCTTTTGTAGTGTGGTAGTTCTGTGTGTAATTTTTTAAGGAAGCACCAAACTCTTTTCCACAGTGGCTGTACCAAAACCAGCAACTGACGAAAGCTCCAGTTTCTCCACATCCTCGCTGACATGTGTTGTGTTGTTTTTCTTATCTTTGTCTTCTTGGTGAGGGTGAGATGATTGATAACTCACCATGGTCTTGATTTGCATCTTCCAAATGATTAAAGTGTTGAGCATCTTTTCATGTGCTTCTTGGCCATTTACACGTCGTCTTTGGTGAACATTTTTCTTCTGGAAGCGTAGGAGCCTGTGGTATGCTGTATTCACCCAACCATGTATCTTGGACCTGGTCCGTGGGAACACAGGGAGGGGCCTCCTTTCTGCCGGCCTTTCCTGAAATAGTGCTCCTAGACTTCTCCCGATTTGCGCTTCCCTCACCCCAACCCTTGCCTAGTCAGTAGGTGAAAACGGTCCCTCAGTGTGGTTTTCATGCTGTTGTCCTTTGGTCTCTGCAGTTATGCTGACAGTGGGCCAGATGGGTGGTGGTATTTTTGCCATTTTACAGATGAGCAGACTGAGGCTCACGGAGCTTACTTGGTTGCCCAGAGGGACCTAGCTAGACTCTGAGACCTTTTGGTTCTAGGACCACTGGTGGTACAGTGGTTAAGGCACTTGACTGCTAACCAAAAGGTTGGTGGTTTGAATCCACCAGCCACTCCATAGGAAGAAGATGAGGCAGTCAACTTCCATAAAGATTACAGCCTTGGAACCACTATGGGGTGGTTCTACCCCGTCCTATAGGGTTGCTATGAGTCAGAATTGACAGGATGGCAGAGGGTTTGATTTTTTTAGGTTTTAATTCTAGACCAGGGTCTCTCCCGCTGGTTGTTTGGGGCTGGATCCTTCTCTGGGGTGGGGCTGTGGGGCACTGGGGGGTGTTGAGCAGCACCCCTGACCTCCACCCAGCCAGTGCCATAGAATCCCCCCAAACTATCCCCACACATTGCCATTTGCCCCTTGGGGAACAGAATCACCCCTGAGAGAGAAACATTGCACTAGATGTTAGTGATAAAAGATACTTGATTCATACTGGGGAGATTTAACTCACTGAGGTACAGGGTTTCTCCACAGTGGTCCTGTTGATGTTGGAGCCGTATCCTTCTGGGGTGGGGCATCCTGTGCACTGTAGGGTGCTGAGTAGCGTCTTTGGTCTCCACTCACTTGATGCCAGTAGCACTCCCCCCAGCCATGACAGCCACACATGTTCCCAGTCATTGCCCAGTATCCCCTGGGGGCAGAATTGCCCCAGGTGAGCCCCTGGGTTAGGGGCTTCTGCTCATTGCAGCCTTGTCCCTGGGAGCTACAGAGATAAAGGGACTCATCCAGGCTTCTCAAGCTTGCTTGCAACAGCTGGGCTGGGGTTGGAACCCAGGCCTCCTCCTCTCAGGTGGCGTTCTTCGCATGAGCAGTGTGCTGTGGGGTTGGAGGTCAGCAGCACGTGGTGAGGCCTTCACAAGGCAGCAGCTGTTACTCCCTTCTCCATGTGGCCCTGCAGGCTGGAGGTCCTGGAGGCAGGGATGGGGGGTGGAGCTGTGGCAGTATCTGAGAGGCATCTGAGGTCAAGATTCCTGCTTTGTGGGCAGGGGGCCTGGGTTCAAGTCTTGCCTCCTCCACTTGCTAACTGTGTGCCTTGGGGCTTGTCATCCTCTCTCTCAGCCTCAGTTTCCCCACTGAAACAGGACAGTGATCCCCCACTACCAGCTCTCAGGGAGGATCTGTGAGAAGATGCACAGTGTAGTCCCTCGCCTGTGTGTATTACCTGTGCTTGGTCAGCCGTGGCGGGGGAGGTTGGGTGTGAGGAAGCACGTTGAGTCCTTGGGGGGTGCAGGTGGTTTGCTCTTGGCTGCAGAAGAAAGGCCTAAGATCTGCTGCTGTTAAGATTGTAACAAAAATGTACAATGAACAAAAAAAATGAGTAGCTGCCAAGCTGCATACGGACAACCGAACACCTCATAAGATTTAATTCCTCGGTTTGAAGGTTTAGAGTCAAGGGTTCATGGGACGTCCCAGTTACTGGGCTAATGATGTGTTTAGTGCTTCTTTGCTACCCAAGGCTTTGGACTGATTCATTCTGGTTCATCCCCCTGCTCAGCGTTTACATTTCCACACTAGATACCCCCCAAACCACTTCCACTGCTGTCAAGTCCATGCTGACTCACAGCGCCCCTGGAGGACGAGGTAGAACTGCCCATAGGGTTTCCAAGGCTCTAAGTCTCTACGAAAGCAGACTGCCACACCTTTCTTCCACAGAGTGACTGGTGGGTCCAAACTGCCTGCCTTTCGGTTAGCAGCCAAGTGCTTAACTACTGCTCCCCCAGGGCTCCTTACCCCACAGCTACTCAATCAGAACCTACATTTTCTTAAGATTCCCAGGTGGAAATGCACGTTCTCAGCAGAGGTCAAACCTGTATGAACCAGTATGAAGCCCTGGGTCTGCCTCCTAGTTTGTTGTGTAGTGTCTGGAGTCTTAAAAGCTTGCAGGTGGCCATCCAGGGTGCAGTAATTGGTCTCTGTGCACCTGGAACAGTAGAGGAAGAACGGGAGTTGGCAGTGAGAAGAGATGGAGTGTGTGGTTAATCACCTTCCTGGACAACCCCCCTCTGTCCTGAGACGGGAAGAGCTGGATGAGGCCCACTGCCATTACGTAACACTTTGATCAAAGGTTCTGTAGGAGAATCCTGATCCAAAGGGGGGAGTGCAGAACAAATTTCAAATTCTAGTAGAGTCTAGACTTTTTCTGGCACCAAGAAGGGTGGATGAAACCCTGAAAGTATTGACCTGAGATCATCTTAAAACCTAAAACACCCCCTGAAGTCTTCTTAAAACCAAACTATAGTTTAGCTGAACTAGTAAAGACTGTCTGCCTTAAGCTCTGTGCTCTTCTAAGAACTCTATGGGAACAAACTGTCAATGGCCACTTGAGAAGTTAGATGGGAAGTTAGAGGGCAGGGAGTTTTATGTTCATGGGAGAGGAACAACTTGGAAAAGGAGGGTGAGAACGGTTGCACAACTCGAAGAATGTCATTGTCATGCATTGCATGTGGAGAAAGTGTTAAATTTGTGTGTACTTTGTTGTGTATGTTCTCGACAACAACAAAATAAAGGAAATTTTCAAAGAACACAAGATTGTAGCCTAGCAAACCCTATGGGGTATTTCTGCTCTGTCACGCAGAGTCGCCATGTGTTGGAATTGACTTGACGGCAGCCCACAACAGTGGCTTTCCCCCTTCTCCGCCCTCTGCCCCTCTCGCTCACTGAACTTCAGGGCTTGGGGTCGTTCAGAGTTGGCTGGTGCATGGCCTTGTATTTCCTGTTTCTTCGCCATGCCGCCCACACTTGTGTGTCTCAACCTCCTGGTGTGGATCACATTCCCTGAAACCTCTGGTGAGAGGTGTCAGAGCCTGGTGAACTGACCCCAGGAGACCCAGTGTTCTGGCCCTGGCTTCACCCACAGCACACTGCAGAGCAGGTCTTCCATTCCTAGAGATGGTTTATCTGTTTGTAAGGCAGGAACTTTCTTCCTAAGAACTTCACAGATGATTAAGGCACACATGGGATTGTGGGCAGTCACATGCTTGGTGGGAGCCAAGTGGAGTCTGCAATAAGTAGTAGCTGTATACGGGGACCCTGGGTGGCACAGACAGTGAACCCACCCCCCAGGGCACCTTGGAACAAAAGCCTGTCAATCTCTTTCCAATCAGCCACTGAAAACCGTGTGGAGCACAGTTCCACCATGACACACACGCGGGGTCTCCAGGAGTTGGTCGACTTGAGGGACATCTGCTAGTGGCTGTGTGCTGTGGCGCAGGCTTAGAGACTAAGGACCACCTGCCCCTGTGTCCCGGCTCTGACTCTTCTCAGCTGTGTGATCTTGAGCTGTTCCTTGACCTCTCTCCACCTGTTCACTCATCTGTACAATGAGTAGAATAATGCCCACCTGGTCAGTGTGTGTGTGGGGCGGTGGTGGCTCAGAGGCAGAATTCTCACCTCCCAGGCGGGAGACCTGGGTTCGAATCCCATGGTGCACCTCGTGTCGCCACCGTGCATCTGTCCGTGGAGGCTTTTGTGTTGCCCTGGTGCTGACCATGTTTCAGCAGAGCTTCCAGTCTAAGATGGGCTGGAAGGAAAGGCCTGGCAAGCAACTCCTGGAAATCAGCCAGTGACAGCCCGTGGGTCTCAGCCGTCCCGTCTGCCCCACCGTGGGCGTGGTGTAGGACTGGGCAGCGTTTTGTCCCTTGGTGTGCGGTGTGGCTGAGTTGGGGGCTGACTCCATGCCACTGGCAGCAGAGGGAAGCTCAGCATCCGGTAGTTTTTGGTCTGTTGTTGCTGGGTGCTGCCGGACGGTCTGTCGCACTGGTGGCTTGACTGTTGCTGTGATGTTGGAAGCTCTGCACCAGTATTTCACATATCAGCAGAGTCACCCACGGGCGGTGGACAGGTTTCAGCGGAGCTTCCAGACTAAGACGGACTCGGTGACCAAAAAGTTGGCTGGTGGACAGCTGCTGGAGAGCAGGGGAACACTGTCTTCAGTGTTACTCTGTGGACCCTGACCTTCACAGGCCAGTGTCTTCACATTAGCCATTCAGTGAGAAACAAGATAGTACTTGACCACCAGGGATGCTACAGAGAGCAGCGGCCCCCAGAGCCCCCAGACGCTCAGGGGGAAGGTGTGATGGAAACCGACTGTGAAAGCGTGATTTCTTCTCTCAGTTTGGGTGTGAGGCTTCATTTTATCCTTGTAGTCTTGTCAGAGATGACACAGGCAGGGCTCTGTTACTGTGCTGAGGGCCCTTGTTCATCATGCCACCAGGGAGACAAAACATGCTTGGTGTGGACCTGCAAGGTCCTCACAACACCTGGTTCTCATTTCTCTTGTCACTCAATGGGGCTTGTGAGCCTGCGTCTGTGTGCAAAGGCCAGGGCATGCAGAGCCTCGTGCAGGGGAAGAGTGGGGGCCTTATAACAGAGAAGGTGGCAGGCGGGGCAGAACGGAGCATACAGAGCAGGGCCTTAGTCCCTCCCACTACCCCGCTCCTTCCTGCTCTCCCTCCCCAGCCCCCATCTGATGCTAGCTCTCTCCTCTGTTTCCTGTTCTCTTTTGCACGTGTCCACTTAGATGAGCCCTTGTGGCCGTACCTGCAGCATCTGTCCAGCCTGTGATGGGATGGATGGGCTTCTTCCCCTTAGCCCTGACCTTGGCTACTTAGTCTTCAGCCCACTTCTTGCATCCTTCTGGTGGCTGTGAACATACTCGTATGTCTTCATACACTCTCCATCTTCCTTGCTTCTTGGCCAGTGTGTGCCTTGCCCGAGTCCATTCTGCCCCTATGGGCATCACACCAAGACAAGGTGGCTTCTTTGATAGTGGTCTTTTTTTTTTTTTTTTTTTTTAGATAAAATTCATCATATTCACCATTTTTAAATGTACCATTCAGTGGCTGTTTGTCTATTCACAATGGAGTGTGACTGTCACCACCATCTAGTTCCAGAACATTTTCATCACCCAGAAAAGAAACCCTGTACCCCTTACTCATCACCCTTCATCCCCCTGTTTCTGCACCCTCCAGTTCTAGGCAACCGCTAGTCCCTTCTCTGCCCCCATGGCCAGCCTGCTCTGGATGTCTCACGTGAATGGGATCAGACACCATGTGGTCTTCGGTGTCTGGCTTCTTTGAGCATGTTTTCAGGGTTCAACCGTGTCATAGCGTGCATCCAGACATCATTTCTCTTTATGGCTGAGTAATGGTGGTACAGGTAGTCAACACGCTTGGCTGCTGACCGAAAGGCTGGCAGTCAGTTCAAGTCCACCTGCAAGCACCTTGGAAGAAAGGCTGGTGATCTTCTTCTGAAAATCAGCCATTGGGAAGCCTGTGGAGCGCAGCTGTGCACTGACACACACCTGGGGGTGCTGTGGGTCAGCTTGATGGCAGCAGGTTCACTGCCCTTGTGGACGGACGGACCACACCTTGTTCATCCGTTCATTTATTGATGAGCTCTGACTTTCTAAACCTGTCTGTCTCTTGCTCTTAATATCAGTTATTTAAGAAAGAGCTTGTTCAAATTTTATGTTAGACCTGGCTGTCCCAGGTGTGGAGCAGCCCTCCAAGCTTGGGGAGCTGTTGCAGCAACCCCTTCTCACATGGTATGTGACCATGCTGGGCAGATGCGGGGAGTCTGAGGCACTTGCCCAAAGTCCAAGCCTGATTGTGGGGAACCTGGGTCTGCTGTCCTGCGGCCCAATCCCAGTGCCCCCGACACACACGTCCATCTAACTCTTGGGCCTCAGTCTCTCCCATTTGTAAAGCTGGTGGGTGCTGTCTTCTGGGACACTGTCCAAGCTGTGGGGTTTCATGCGGTCTTTGCCTCTCAGCCCGTGAGCTCCTCAGACAGTGAGCCTCCTGACGCGGACCCTGTGGGCAGGAGTGACGTTGGTGAGGATGGCGAGGATCGGGGGGTCATGGCCGTCACTGCTGTGACTGCTGCAACCACCAGCAACAGGATGGAGAGTGACTCGGACTCAGACAAGAGCAGCGACAACAGCGGCATGAAGCGGAAGGCCTCGGCTTTGAAGGTAGGGGCAGGGGTAGTGTGGGATGGCGGGGGGCCAAGCAAGGCCCCAGCCCCGCCTTCTCACACCCTAAACTCCCATCCAGCAGCCTGCCTCTCTCTTATCTTGTTTTTTTTTCCTTTGGTGTTCATTTTTAAAAAGTGAGATATAATTCACATATCATAAAACTCACCCTTGCACAAAAGCATGCAGTTTTTCAAAACCCATTGCCACTGTCTCATCCAGAATATTGTCACCATCCCAGAAACCCCAGGTGCATTCCAGTCACCCCCACTCTCTGCTGCCACCAAGCCATGGGCGACTACCAGCCCACTCTGTGTCTACAGACTTGCCTTTCAGGTCACGTCACATTAATGGAGTCATATGGTACATGGATATGTGATTTTCTGTGACTGGCTTTTTGACTAAGCATGTTTTCAAGGTTCCTTTCCATATGCTGTGTTATCAGTCCTTTGGTCATTCATCTTCCTAGCTGAGTAATATTCCATTGTGTGGATAGACCATGGTTAGTTTATCCATTTGACAATCACTGGACCCCTGGGTTGTGTCCACTCTCTTGGCTGTTGTGAGCAGTGCTGCTGTGACCTGTCTGTGCAGGTTTTTGTGTGCACATGTGTTCTCGACTCTCGTGGGCATATTCTTTCCCCTGCCCTGGATGGCGGCTGGGTGTTTGAGTGCAGAAGGAAAGAATCAGGTCAGATCAACTGATTGTTTTGGTGCGGATTAGTGAAGCGTTCTTTGGATTTTTTTTTCACATGGCATTTGCTTTTGTTTTCACTTGTAAGTGATAAGCCATGTTCATGATTGATAAGTTAGAAGATGCAAGAATGTAGAGAAGCCAGTGACAGGGACCCATCCTGTGGGGCGGGGTGGTCCTGAGCCGAGGACTGCGGCTATGTGGTTTTGGTGTCCCCCTCAAAGGGAGTGTGTACGTGTGTATGTGTGTAGGCACCAGAGTCGATCCTAACCTTGCACTGTGTGTCTTGTTTTGTAGCCCATTTAATAATTATGTTACAGGTGTTTCTGGGTGCCACAAATGGTAGAGTGCTCAGCTGCTCACCGAAAGGTGGGCTGGGGGAGCCTACCCAGAGGCACTTTTTTTTTTTTTTTTTAATTAGGATTTGGGTGAAGATTTACAGAGTAAATTCACTTTTCATACAGCAGTTCACATATACTTTGTCTCATGTCATTGACCAAAATTTACAATGCAGCAGCTCCCCTCCCACTTCCTCCCCATAGTTACCTCCTCCCAGTGTCCATCCCTTCATACTCTTCTGCACCCTGAGCTATCTCCCTGTGCATAAGCAGCCCTTCCTTCTCCCATGATTGTTCTCTCCAGGGCGTGTGTCTACTTGAGGTAAATGTTTAACTCACATGCCTGTACTTTGTTTGGCTGGAAACCACAGTTGTGGGTTCAATTCCAGACCTGAAGGGCAGCTAGGGGCCATAGTCTCAGTGGTGACACCAGGCTCTATTGGACCAGCAAACTGGTCCCCACCTTCTTTTTTTTTTTTTGCCTCCAAATGATTTTGAGTTTTGTTCCACATTGTTCTCCCTCTTTATACAGGATCTCCTACATCCCTTCCAAGTGGATGGCAGTGGTAGCTGGGCACCATCTAGTTCTTCTGGTCTCATGGTTGTACAGGTTGCAGATCAGATGGTGTACCAGTCGCTAGGACTGATTGTTTCCATTAATTTTGGTTTTCTTCTTTCTTCTTGACGAGGAGAGACCCGTTGTTGCATCTAGATGGCAGCTTCCTAGCTTTTAAGGTCCCAGTCGCTACTCACCAAAGTAGTAGGTGGAACAATGTTTTGTATAGTATGTTATGCCAGTTGAGCTTGATGTCCCCTGCGACCATGGTCCCAAACCTGCAGGATCAACTACTCGGTCCCTCTGGGTAGCTGGCTGTGACCAAGCAATGACCATAACCTTGCCCCTTGCCAGCTCTACTATACACCCCAGAGGCACTTTGGACGACAGGCCTGGCAACCCAGTTCTGGAAATCACCCACTGAAAATCCCACAGTGCACAGTTCTACCCTGACACACGTGGGCTCGCCAGGAGTTAGTCATCTCCATAGCAACTGGTTTATTGTTGTTCCAGTTCATTCACTGGGTCGTGCAACCCCCACCTCTGTCTAGTTCCAAAATATGTGTGTGTATTTTCTGGGGAAGGATCCCTGGTTTTTCTCAGACTCTCCATGGGGTCCTGGCCCAGAAAGGTCCAGGGACCCTGGCTTTAGCCCAGGCGGTGAGTGGCCACGTGGGAGGCTGCCTGGTGTGGCAAGGGAAGGCTGTGCCCGGAGCCCAAGCTCCCCACCGCTGATGTGTCCAGCCACCCCTTCCAGATGTCGGTGTCGAAACGAGCCCGGAAGGCCTCCAGCGACCTGGACCAAGCCAGTGCATCACCTTCTGAAGAGGAGAACTCGGAGAGCTCATCTGAGTCTGAGAAGACCAGTGACCAGGTGAGCAGGGGGGCACATCCTGAGGGATGCAGGGGGGCCTGGTGAGAGCCCGGCGGTGCCACCCTGCATGTCCCGCGTCCTACTCTGTTCCACCCACCCAGGATTTCACCCCTGAGAAGAAGGCCGTGGCTCGGGCCCCACGCCGTGGCCCTGTTGGAGGAAGGAAGAGAAAGGTAAGGGGTGTTTTGTTTTGTTTTGTCTTTTCTGTGCCCACCTCCAGGAAACCCTTAGAGCTGCTCACCACAGTTCTTGGCCCCCACCCATCAGCATCGAGCTGGGGCTGAGCCACCCTCAGCATCCAGCAGTTTCTGAGAGCTCCTAGGGGCAGGGCACTTGAGTAGGAGTGGGGAGATATAGTCCCACTGGCCACGAGGGGGTTTAGTCAGCATTGGGCAAGAGTCCTGTGGAGCACTGACAGTAGAAGGGAGCAGGGCGCTCCTGAGAGCTCCGTGTGTGGGAGTGTGTGCAGGGTGCTCCCCAGGGCCCGTGTTTGTGAGAGAGTTGGGGGGCGTGGCTGTTCGCAGGAGCTGAGATACGTATGAGTGCAGGGCCCTCATGAGAGCCCTGTGTGTGTAAGAATGGGTGTGTGAGCTTGCATACGTGTGTGTACCGTGGAGACAGGGTTTCGGGACTGAAGGCAGAGAGGACCAGGTCATCTCTCTGTACAAGATAATTAGGAAAACTGGTTCTGACAGGACCTCGACTTCACAGACGCACCTGGCTAGTGGTCAGGCACCTGCATGAAATACCCTAGTGTGATTTGGCCAGAACAAGGGGGGTCCTGGAACGTTTGAGTGGGTTGGGGGGGCGTTGTGAGCCTGAAGAGGCACTGGGTGGGGGAGGCTGGGGACCGAGGGGCAGGAGCAGGCCGGGTCGGCTTGTGTGCTTCTCTAACGCACTGGCTCCACCCCTCCTGGCCTCTCCCAGAAGGTGGCCTCGGCCTCCGACTCTGACTCCAGGGCCGACTCGGATGGGGCCAAGGACGAGCCCATAGCCGGAGCCAGGGCTGCATCCCCTTCCTCCTCCTCTTCCTCCTCCTCCGAGTCCGACGTGTCTGTGAAGAAACCTGTGCGAGGCAGAAAGCCAGGTGGGAGCTCCCAGCGTGTTCCCGGTCACCGCGGACCCCTCTGCCCCGGGGGAGAAGGCCTTCACCCTGTTCCTCTCTCCACAGCCGAGAAGCCCCCTCCGAAGCCCCGCGGGCGGAAGCCGAAGCTGGAGCGGCCCCCGTGCAGCTCGAGCAGTGACAGGTGGGTGTCAGGGCCCCGGGGCCACTGCCGGCCAGGCCACGGCCGCCGGGCGGCGCCCCTGCCTCTCCTCACCGTCCCGCGCTGCCCGCAGCGACAGCGACGAAGTGGACCGCATCAGCGAGTGGAAGCGCCGTGATGAGGAGCGGCGGCGCGAGCTGGAGGAGAAGCGGCGGCGCGAGCAGCAGGAGGAGCTGCGGCGGCTGCGCGAGCAGGAGAAGGAGGAAAAGGAGCGGCGGCGCGAGCGGGCGGAGCGCGAGGACGCCCCCCGCAGCGGGGCCAGCGACAGCAGCGGCGACGAGCTCCGCGAAGAGGACGAGCCCGTCAAGAAGCGCGGCCGTGGGCGGGGCCGAGGCCGTGGGCCCCCGTCCTCGTCTGACTCGGAGCCTGAGGCTGGGCTGGACAGGGAGGTGTGTGTGGTGCCTCGGCAGGGGGCTTGGGGGGTGGTGACAGCCGTGAGGCCTCCCTGGCCCCTGATCCTGTTGTTGCTTTATTCGTAAGGTCATTCTTTTATTCAACACTTGAGAGACCCTGGGTGGCACAAACGGTTAAGTGCTCAACTCCTAGCTGAAAGGTTGGCAGTTCAGAACCACCCAGAGGTGTGTTGGCAGAAAGGCCTGGTGACCTACTTCTAACAGGTCCCAGCCTTGAAAACCCTGCAGAGTATAGTTCTGCTCTGCACACATGGGGCACCAGGAGTCGGAATTGAGAATTGATTCGATGGCCACTGGTTGGTTTTGTTGGGTTTTATTGAGCACCTGGTGTGTACTAGGTGTCATTCTAAGTGCCAGGGGGATAGTAGGGCAGCTGTGAGTGGAACCCAGAAACCACTGGCCTCAAGGAGCTGCTGTCTTGTCCCAAGAGACAGACAGACAGGATTATAAGCTGTGGTGTGTTCTAAAACATTAATGCCGAGGAGAATAGAGCAAGGAAGGGACATGATGGGAAGGAGGGAGAGGGTTTCGTTTCAAATAGCATAGACCCTAAAAGCTGTACTTGAGAAGGTGCCGTTTAGAGTCAGGATCTGGCTGAAGTGAGGGGTGATGTATGAACACATCTGGAGGAAGATCAGGCAGTGGTCATGGCCTGTGCAAAGGTCCTGGGGCAGGATCAGGCCTGGCGAGTTGGAGGAACAGTGAGGAGGCTGTGTGGCTGGAGTGGTGTGAGGGAGGAGGAGAGCAAGCAGGGAGGACTGAGGGAGGTGGGCTGGGCCCTGATTCTGGTGCTCATCGCACCCTCTGGCCTCTCTGACCCAGGCTCTGTGGGGGCCGCAGGGACTGTTGCACTCCCAGCTCTCAGGGTGCTCAGTCTGACTCTCATCCAGGGTGACCTTTAGGCTTGACTTTCCAGTCTCTGCTCAGCAGGGCCATGTGCTGGCGATCCCTGAGCCAGGGCTTCTTTCTGACATAGCCCCCGGCCCCAGGGAGCATGAGGGCCGAGGCTTTACACTCCTGCTGCTGGCTGGGCCCAGGGGTCTGTCTGCCAGTCCTGTCCTGCCCTGCACCTCCCAACACGTTCAGGTGGTTAGAACGAGGGGCAGGAAGTGTTGAGAACGCTTTCTCAAGTGGGGTGGTCTCTAGAGAGGGAGAGGTCTCGTCCTAGCCTCCTGACCCCTCCGCTTCTTTGCTGTTGCAGGCAAAGAAATCGGTGAAGAAGTTGCAGCCACAGACCCCTGAGCCCACAAGGAAACCTGGCCAGAAGGAGAAGAGAGGGCGTCTGGAGGAGAGGCCCCGAGCCAAGTCAGTCCCGGCTCTGCCCATCCTCCCACAGCTCCCCAGGGCCCTTCCTGCCCGCCCTGTGCCTGGGATCCTTCACCTCCCCATGCCCCTCACCCCTCACCCCTCACGGACGGACCAGCTTCTCACTTCTGTCCCAGAGCCAGATCTCGTGGAAGTTTCTAGTTCCCGGGGCTCCATCAGGTCTTGGGGGTAGCTTTGCCCTGGGATTGGGGCCTTTGCTGGAGCAATGGGACTGCTCCCCCACAGTGCAGTGTCTGGAGATGTTTGTGGTTGTCAAGACTAGGGTCGTGCTCGTGGCATGGAGTGTGCAGAGGCCAGGGATACTGCTCAATACCTTGCAGCGCACAGGATGCCCTACCCCAGAGAAGGATCGGGCCCCACATCAGTAGCAGGGCTGGGGGCAGACCCTGCCGTAGCCAGAGGTTCTAAGACTTCAGGTCTGAGGTCTGGGAGTTAGGGGGATGGTATTCCTGTACCAGTGCCCTGTCCGCGTGGGGTCCCAGCTGTCGGCAGGTGTGCACGGCCGGTTGGGGTGTGCAGGCAGCTCAGCCCTGGACAGGAGCACTAGTGGTGCCTGATGAGCCGTCCTGCTCAGTGTTGGCCTCCATGCCCTCACCCACCCCTCCACTGGGTTCCAAGAAGCCACCTAAGAACAGAGAGGAGCCCAGCTTTCAACGGCTCAGGCACGGGCCTCCATGTAGGCCAGGGCCTCGGCCCCTCCTCCATCCCTGCTGCCAGGGCCTCCTGAAGGTGATGCCCCCCCAGGTCCCTCAGCCAGGCCACAGTATGGGGCCTCTCTGAGGGGAGGTGCTCTCTGTAGGTCCCTGAAGGTGGAACGAACCCGGAAGAGGTCTGAGGTGTTAGCACCTGACAGGAAGGTGGAGAAGAAGAAGGGTGAGGAGGCCGTGCAGGGTCAGTTGGGGCCGGGGCAGAGGAGGTCACGCAGTGTCAGTCGGGGGGGAGGCTCACAGGAGGCCTGCAGGGTCAGTCAGGAGGGGAGGCAGAGGAGGCCTGCAGGGTCATTGAGGTGGGGGGGGCGGGGCTGAGGAGGCTATGCAGGGTCAGTGGGGGAGGAGGCAGCCTATGGCTCCAATGGGTGATTGATTCTAGGGCAGATGTGGGCTTGAGGTTGGACGTGAACAGCCCAGGCCCCTCCGGCCCAATTCTGCTCACACCCTGAGTATGTTGTCATGTTTCTAGAACCTTCAGTGGAGGAGAAGCTGCAGAAGCTGCACAGCGAGATCAAGTTTGCCCTGAAAGTCGACAACCCGGTAAGGCCACTGTAGGGTCACAGTGTAGACAGCCCCTCCACCTCTAGCTGGCGTTCCTTGGAATTCGGGCTCCCACAGGGCGGGTGGGTGGGTGATGTCTCCCACAGGGCCCCTCCTGGACGGCAGCGTCCACCTTCCGCACCAGGTAACGCCACAGGTGGGTCCGGCACCACCTCCCAGCTCCAGGTCCCTCCCGCCTGTCCCTTGGCTCTGGCACCGTTGGGAGGAGGCAGCCTGACGCTGTGGGGTCAGCAGACATTGTCCTTCTCTACCCCTCCCCGCCCCTAGGATGTGAAGCGGTGTCTCAGTGCCCTGGAGGAGCTAGGGACGCTGCAGGTGACCTCTCAGATCCTCCAGAAGAACACAGATGTGGTGGCCACGCTGAAGAAGGTCAGTGGGAAAGTAGAGGCAACAGAGCTGGCGTGGTGGGTGCAGCTGGGCTGGGCGTGGGGCAGTGTGGGCTCCGTCCATGAGGAGGAGAAGGCCGGCCTGGGAAGACGGGCAGAACGCCAGTCCCTGGAGGGTCTTGCTCATGGAGGGTGCCGTGGGGGTGCTGTAGGCATCAGCAGGGCTCTTGGGTGGGGGCGGGGTAAAGCACACTGCATCGTCTGAGCCAGGCGTCTCTGTGGGCCAGATCCGCCGCTACAAAGCCAACAAGGAGGTGATGGAGAAGGCGGCTGAGGTCTACACACGGCTCAAGTCACGGGTGCTGGGTCCTAAGATCGAGGCCATCCAGAAAGCCAACCGAATGGGGGCAGAGAAGGAGAAGGCCGAGGTGGAGCGGGCCGAGGAGGTGCTGGCTGGAGAGGAGGTGCCCAAGGAGAAGGAAGGCCAGCCGGGCACAGGTGAGGACTCACCTCCAGCCGCTGGCGTCCACGGGCTAAGGCAGCAGGGTACCTCAGAAGGTGTCCTCAGGAGACACTCGGCTCTGCTTTCCCCACACTGGCCAGTGGGCTCCAACCAGGGCCCATCTCCATGGCTGCTGGTAGGGGTCCAGCTTGGGGTATCCCATACCCTAAGATGCAGCTGAACTTGGACCCCACAGTCGGTGGGCGGGTGACAGGGCGTGTGATTCACGCCCATGTGGCTCACTCAGATGCATGGCGCCAGGCTGCAGTCTGTCACCTGACATGTCCAGGCTGGGTTTCCCAGAAGCCTGGGAGACCACAGAGGGCCTGATAGGAGAAGGGGCATCTCTGGTAGGATGGTGGCCTGAGGAATAGGTGGGGTCATTTCCTACTGGGTCCTTGGATCCAAGTTATTGCTCTGAGAAGTTCCTGCGTTGTCCATACTCACTCTTGGCTGTGATGTTCTTACCCCACGTGGTTGCACCCACTTGTCAGCCTGCCCCAGGCCGCTGCTGACAGAGTGGACCACCCAGCCCTGCTTGGCCAGGGGCACCAGGTGGTAGTGGGTATGGAACTTCCATACAGCTTCAGGGCCCCTTTCCCCAAGCTGGCAACATCTCAGTGACGGAGAGCATGGTCCACAGCCTCCCGTGACCCATCTCCCCACGCAGACCTCCCCACCCCCGTGAATGGCGAGGCTGCATCGCAGAACACGGAGGGCACGGGCGACCGGGAGCAGGAGGAAGCACAGAACTCTGAGGAGGGCCCCCAGGGCGGCTCCCCCGAAGATCTCCATGACGAGTAAGTGTGTGGGACACAGGCACAGTGCACCTATGCGAGCGAGTTTGCGGGACATGGGTGCAGGGCACCGATGCGAGCAGGTGTGCAGGACTCAGGTGCAGGGGACCTACCTGACGAGTAAGGACCTGGGCCATAGGCACCTCTGCAGTGAATGAGTACACGGGACACAAGTGCAGGGCACCTATTCATGAGTAAAAACACGTAAGATGCGGGAGCAGGCACGGGGCAGCTGCGTGACGAGTGAGTGCGTAGGATGCAGGCGTGGGCCACCACTGTCCAAGCGGCTCCTGGGGGTTGAGGGCCCTCTGCCCCTGGCCGGGCCTCCCTGACCCACTGATGCAGTATTTGTGGCTGACCCCCACAGGCTAGGTGGCCAGCACTTCCTGTGTCTTCTTGGTGTGAGCTTGGACTCTGATCCTTCTGGGGAAGGGTACCCCTGACCTCTGGCAGTAGCCGGGCAGGCCCCTTCAGGCGACAGGCGTCCTGGCTCATCCTTGCCGCACAGTCATTGAACAGAGATCTGTGGCTGGTGGAGGGTGCAGGGGCTGCTGGCCTCCCTCCCAGTGTTGGCAATCTCTGAGATAGGAAACCGACCGACTTGGCTCAGACGATAACAATCACACTATGGCCCACCCTCTCTCGCCCTGCAGTGGAAGAGGGGGCGGGAGGGTGTGGCCCTGGGCTGGCTCCTCACCCCTGCCATGTCCCCTCACAGCCTGCAGGAGGGGCCCGACCCTGACAGGCCTGGGAGTGACCGGCTGGAGCGTGAGCGGGCTCGGATGGACTCGGAGTCCCTGGACGAGGAGAGCTGAGCCCGGCACACTCGGTGCCCAGGCCCTGGCCCACCACGCCATAGACCTCCCAGGCTGCCCGTCTCCTCCCCTGACTCCCTGGAGAGCAGAGGCCTTGGGGGAAATGCCATGCTGTTCCTTTGTATCTGTCCCCTTGGGTTTTTTTCTGCCTAATTTCTGTGATTTCAAACCGACATGAAATGAATATAAAGGGTTTTTTAATGAAAAAAGAAAATCATTTTGTTAGCTTGGTTTTCTAGTGTTGCTGGTGCTGCTGGGGAGCCTGTGCAGCTTTCTGAGGCCGTCTGGGGACAGCACGGGCAGGCCACAGCAGGGACAGGCCACAGCAGGGACAGGCCACCATTAGCAGCCAGCCCCGCCCTCAGGCACTGATGAGGGAGACGGGATGACAGCCTATGTATGACAGTCCCGGGCCCAGGTGGGGCGAGCAGGCATACAGGGCCACGGAGGGTGTGGACCGGGCCTCCTTCCCTGATGAGACTCGCTCCCACTGTGCAGGAGACGCGGTGGAGGCCGGGAGAGGTGCCGTGGGATGTCCGTTCTCCCTGATGTTAAGAGGTGGGAGTGCTGACTGGCTGCGTGCTCCTAGGCGGGTCTTCCCCTCCTTGCACTGGGTTTCTGTCTCCTCACCTGTGAAATGGGGTGATCTCCACTTCCTGGAACTGGGATGTGGCTGTGTGTGTGGCTCCTGCCACCTGCCCTTGGGTGACCACGTCCCACCCTCCCAGCTAAGAAAGAGGTACTTCCAGAGATGCTGCCTGTGTGTGGTGTGGAGGGACTGTGGCCCCTGCCAGTGGTGGGTTTCTGGGGTCCCAATCCAGTGGGTGTGAGCAGTGGCTGAGGAGGGCTCGGGAAGCTTCTGTTACGTCATGCCAGGTGCAGCTTCCCCAGTTCAGCAGCTCAGAGATCAGGTGATGCTCTGTCACCATGGTGACCCCCTTGGACTGAGGGGGCCCATCCCTCCTCCATCCCCCAGGAGCCTGGAGTATCCAGGTCATTGCTGCCTCACAGCAGCTCTAAGGAGAGGTGCAGTCAGGGTGCTTCAGGCCCCCTGAAGGGGTTTTGTCAGCGGTGCGGGGTCTGCCCAGCAGGGGCTTGCCGAGCTTCCTGCGGAGCGGTTCCTCCCAGGTGATGGAGTCCAGTGACAGGAGATGGTTGGAGGTGGGCAGGGCCTCCACATGCTGTCAGCTGCTTCCTGCTGTCACAGGCAGCCTCTATACTTCCGGGTGGTGTCCTCGCTCACAGCCAGAGGTCTCCATAAACTCCCTCAGCACCACGTCTGGGTCCCACGCAGCCTGGAACTCTGCGTGGGTGCTGAGCATGTGTCATAAGACCCCTGGCTCAGCCCTGTCCCTGAAGGAAGCCCTTTGTTCACTTTGTTCATCTGTAGCCGTTGGGCCCACGCTCCTGAGGAAACCGTAGGACTTAAGATCGCCGTGTCTGGATGAGGCTCCCGGGGTGGCCGTGGGTGGGTGGGTGAGGGGGTGAGCAGAGGAGCCGGTGTCCCCACTCATGCTCCTCAGTCCCCAAGCCAGCCCCCGTGGTGGCTGTTGCTGCTGGCGGCCTTCCCCTGAAGCCCTCAGCCACACTGAGGTCATATGAGGGGTGCAGGAGCCCGCCCCGGGCCCCGTGGTTCTTGAGACTCACAAAGCGTCAAGGGCTGGGGTTCATGCTCCCGGAGCAGGGCTGGGGCAGCCTGGAGCACACGGGAGGAGCAGAGCCACCTGTTAGGCGGCAGCTGAAGGACACTGACGGGGCCTGAAGAGCCACCTTGAAGAAGGGTTTCTAGTATGTGTGGCCACCACCCATCTGCCAGTGTCCCCTACTGTGGGGGCTCGCGTGTTGCTGTGGTGCTGGAAGCTGTGCCACCATCGGTGTTTCAAACACCAGCAGGGTCACTCGTGGACAGCTTTCCGTGCAACTTCCAGACTAAGACTAGGGAGAAAGGCCTGGAGATTTTCCAAATACCAGCCAATGAAAAGTCTAGGGGCTACAACGGAGCAATGTCCCAGATGGTACTGGAAGACGAGCCCCTAGGTGGAAGGCCTTGAAATAAGCAGTGGCTGCAGCCATGGACTAGAGCAGAGCAAGGACTGTGACGAAGCACCCGACGGGAGTGTTTCGTTGTGTCGCGTGGGATCGCCGTGAGTTGGTGTTGGCCCCACGGCACCTGTTGTGGTAGTGTGTAGGGCCAAGTGGGGGCTCAGTGGCATGTCCTGCCACCTCTTTCCTAACTGGGGTTCTTGCAGTTTTTAAGAGAAGGCCCACTGTCACCTGTACCCCTGACTCCTAGGACATGAGCCAGGGCCACAGTGCTTGGGAAGAGGGGGTGGATGAGGCAGGTGGGCCAGGGGCAGAGCAGGCTCCTCTCAGAAAGTTCTGTCCTTGGCGTCCCGTTGTCTCCCGGCTACCTCCAGCCTGTAGGAACCTGAGCTTCAGGGATGTTGAGCTGGGTCTGGGATGAGGATTCCAAGGAGGGGGCCACGGGCAGGGGAGGGTGAGGGCACCCCTTCGTCCTGTCTGCAGCCCCTACAGCTGCTGTCCACCTGGGAGCAGCGTGAAGGGCCCCACCAGCCAGCCGAGCGGGGGGCCGTGTTGCACCAGTGCCAGCAGCTGCTCCAGCCCCTGCCAGGCCTGGTTCATACCCTGAAGGCTCTGCGCCAGGCGCTCAGCCGGCAGCTCACTGAGGGAGCCAGCTGCGGACACAACGCCGTACAACTCACACAGGCTGTGCCGTGCCTGGGCCACCTGCTGCTGGGGCTCGCCGGGCAGACCCTGCAGGCCTGAGGCCAGGCCACTGTAGGCCACGTGCAGCTGCCGCAGGAGCCCGAGGACGCTGGACAGCACCCCCGCGTCATCCACCTGCAGGAGGAAGAGGTGAGGTGAGCGGGGCAGAGGCTACCGAGAGGGGACCCCTGGCTCCACTGTACGCACCTCTTGAGTACTGGTTCCCTCCATGCCGGCATTCAAACTCGGCTCCAGGCAGCAAGGCTTGGCTTCTTCTATCTGGAAAGAGACCGCCGCAGGCTCAGGGACCTTCACCCCTCCCCCCAGAGGAGGCGGCATTGTGGGGCCAGCAGGACACCCTGAGCACCAGCCCACAGTCTCTTTCTAGAGTTTCCTGTGATGTGCTGGAATAGCCACAAGGAAGGAACCAGTTGCACACATAAGGTGCTGTTGGTCAGCCCCCCACTCACGGTGACGCCATGGACAACAGAGCAAAGCGCTGCCCTGTCCTGCGCCATCCCCCCAAGCAGGTGCAGGTTAGAGATAGTGCTCCATGGGGTTTTTTCACTGGATGATTTTTGGAAGTCAGTTGCCAGGCCTTTCTTCCTAGTCTGTCTTGTTCTAGAAGCTCCACTGAAGCCTGTTGAGCATTCTAGCAACACATCCCACTGACAGACGGGTGGGGGCTGGGCATGAGGTGCGCCGGCCAGAACCCTGGTCTCCCACATAGAAGTGGGGAGTTCTACCACTGAGGTAAAAAGGCAGGAGTCCAAATATCCCCTGCTCTATATACACTTAAGATCAGCATGAACGCTGATGTGTTAAAACCCACTGCCGTGGAGTCCATTCCGACCCACAGCGCCCCTAGAGGACAGAGCGGAACACCCCACAGGCTCTCCAAAGCTGTCAATCTTTACAGAAACAAAGCCCAAACCAGACCCACTGCCTTGGAGTTGATTCTGATTCACAGCGCCCCTAGAGGACAGAGAGGAACTCTGCCCCACACCAAAAATAAATAAATAAATAAAATACCCTCTGCCATCGCGACCCCTCCTTGGGTTTCCTAGGCAGTGTCACTACGTAAGTTGATTGCCCAAACTTCCTTCCAAGGAGTGGCTGGTGGGTTTGAACCACCAGCTTTCTGGTTAGCAGTCAAATGCCTTAGACACTATACCACCAGGGCTCCCAGAACTGTCCCATAAGGTTTTGAAAGCTGAAAATCTTTACAGAAGCAGACAGCTTCATCTTCTGTAGGGCAGCTGGTGGGTTCAAACTGCCAGCCTTTTGGTTAGCAGTTGAATGACTTAATCCCTGCTCCAGGTTAGGTGTATAGACCAGGGGCACCCTCCTGCTCCTGTGACTCGCCTCTTTCCTTCTCACTCACTGTGTGGATTTAAATGTGGGCAGCAAACAAAATGTGGGACATCAAGAGGTCAGAGGATATGGGACAGAGTGTCTTGGGAGTCAGTGGAATCCCCAAACCCAGGGGTTCTCACTCAGAGTGACATTTCCCCCAGGGGGACACTTGGCGATACCTGGAGACACCTGTGCTTGTCATGGCCGGGGGTGGGGGGGGCATTGCTACTGCCTTGGAGTGACTGGAGGCCAAGGACACTGCTCAACACCCTACCGTGCACAGGACACACACACCCCCCAGAGAAGGATCCAGCCTGGTGTCAGCAGTGCCGATAGGGAGGAAAGCCTGGGCTACAGGAGGGGAGTGGAGGTGGTGGGAGGAAGACACGGTGTCCTGTGGATGGTGCACAAGTCAGCTTTGATTGGTGCCTTGTCCACAGCAGTTTTGTGGATTTCACCTGTCCTGTCTCTGCCCTCACTGCACCCAGTCTCATCAACCGCCTTTCTGCTCCTCGGGGAGCCCGCTTGCTCTCGGGAAGCCCTCTGTCCTGCTGCCCTCTCCTCGCTGTCCCCACTCCCTCCCAGGCCTTACACCCCTGCCTGTCAGGATGTGGCTCTTAAGTGCAGCCCCAATCCCGTCTCTGTGTAAACGGTCCTCTTGTTATCTCCATAGTCCCTGCATCTGCAAGTTCCTGGTCTGATGTCTCCCTCCCGAGGGCAGAGGCTCCGTGAGAACAGAGATGATGTCTGACTAGTCACTCTCTGCCTCCTGCTCAGTCCTTGTCAGCTGGGGGCGCCACAGGCAGACACGGGTCAGGGAGGCTCTTACCTGCTGGAAAGAGTCCTGGAGCTGAGCCATCGCGTCCCTGGCTTGGAACTGGCTGTGCTGCAGGTGGCTCATAGTGTGCTCGAACGCACGCTGGCGGAAGCTGGGTGCCAGGTCACCCAGTCGGACGAAGTAGCTGCCCTGGTCAGCTGAGAGCACCTTCGGCCCAGGCTCGGAGGCAGCCAGTTGAGCTGGGAAGGAAGCCAGAACCGACCACCAATCAACCAGTACCCTCCAGGGCATCGGGAGCATGTGAGAAGCCCCTCTGAATGGCCCTGAGGTCCCCAGCTCCTGTGGGACATTTCTGTCCCCTCCACCTCATGTCTCACCTTGCTCCTCCACGCTCATGGGTTGGAAGATCTCCCCCAGCTCCTCCAGCTCCCCGAGCAGCATGGCAGCATTCACGACTCCGCTGTGGCCTGGTGTGGTACCTACAGGCTCCGAGTTCTCCCCACCTGGGGTGGCCCATTGGCTGAGGGCTGCTGTGTCAGGGACGGGGCTCAGAAGGCCTGCACAGAGGGTGTCGGGGATGCTGGAGACCACAGAAGACACATCCTTAGAACGGGTGACTCCCCCCCAGACACTGTCCTGGGTCCCGGGTAAGAAACTCTGCATGGTGCTGAGACCAGTGTACACAGCACCTACAGCCCCGTTCTCTGCCCCATCGAGGCCAGATGACATGACCACTTGGGTGCTGGAGGCAGCCGATCGCGTGGTGTCCAAACTGCCCTGGACAAGTCCTTTGGCCACGTTTGCTGCCCCGGTCACCCCAGTGCAGACAGTGTCCTTTGTTCCTGTCACTATATTTTGAGTTGTATCCAGGCCTGTCTGGACAGCTCCTTTAGCCATGTTCATGGCCCCAGTGACCCCACTGGACACGATGTCTTTGGTGCCAGTGAGGACTGACTTGCTGGTGTCCAAACCTCCTTGGACCACCCCTTTGGCCATGTTTGCTGCCCCAGTCACCCCAGAGCAGACAGAGTCCTTGGTGCTGGTCAGCAGAGTCTTGGTGGTGTCCAGGCCCCCATGGATGGCTCCCTTGGCCATATCCACTGTCCCACTGATGCCAGTGGCCACTGTGTCTTTGGTGCCAGTGAG